ATGAACTGACCTGAATTGGAATTTTTATTATGTGAAGTGCCTTGAGACGACTCTTGTCGTGATTTGGCGCTATATAAATAAACTTGAATTGAATTGAATTGTCCCGGCTACACACAGCGCACACACAGCATAGCGGTTACCCGGTGTCGGTACAGGATCGGCTCGGGGTCCTTCGACTGCCGATGACGTCGCATTACTGCAAATCTACTCGGCTTTCACACATACGTTTTGGAAAGACATCAGCAGTTTTGTTAATAAATTCTTGTTTGTTAACACCTAAACGTTTTCTTTATAATTGTAATTTGTTAATAAAACACCATATTATCTTTGTTTTGTAAAGAATGTGAAACTGCATAAAACCAACATCGGACTGACAAAAAATAGAACAGTTCATATATGTGAAGCCATTTCTGTTTGTATTAACGTGGAGTTCGTCTGTATGTTTCCTTAGTTGTTATCTAAATACATTCTTTGTCTCAAAATATTGCTTGGTGTCTTTCAATAAAGTTCTTTTATTTTGCCCCATTTCATCAAAACCAAGAGCTTTTGAGGGTCACTGTTTATCGTTTGCTTATATTTTACATTTCCTTTAGAAATTCAAACATATTTTCTCCAAAATGTGTTGATTTTTGGACTACAGGACTACAACTGCTAAGACTACGACCGCAAACTTGTTCTGACCAATCAAAATCATAACGTGATAACGTAACTTCCGTAAGCTTCATGTTCAGCCAATCGACTACTTTGACGTCATCGGCAGTCGAAGAACCCCGAGCCGATCCTGCACCTGAGCAGATCCTGTACCGACACCGGTTCCATTGAGGGAGGAGCAGGAATCAAATAGTTGTCTCTGCCCACCTATAAATGTTTGATCCCGCCCACATTTTGCCCCGCCCTGATCTCCGGGAGGCAGCCAGGGGCTACTACTCAGTCCAGCGGCACTCCTTTGTGAGAGCGAGGGTGGGGGTGGGGTGGCTGCACACATTCAGCTGCTGTTTCTCACCAGTATCAGCTGATGGAAGGCTCTAGTTTTGCTGCACCGTTTGTGGCAGCGGACACGTTAAGGTCTGGGAGGGGGGCGGGGCATGACGCTTAGCCTGGCGGGTGGGCAAGCAAAGCCTGGCGGGCCGCCAGGCTTATAAAGAGCTGGGGGAAACCTGAGAGAAATGTAATCAATTTCAGCGAGCCACAAACACCGAACAGCTACACGTAGTGCAACACTGAAAACAGAAAACGCCTTATCGCAGATACCGCCACCTATACGTTCGTACAATGTTAACTGTACTTCTTCAATAAAGGAACCTAGTGTTTTATAGGTTCACATAGACACAAAATCTTGTTTGTATTCATTCTACTGCTCTACTGCTCAAATTGAAATTACATAAACACACCAACAAAACCATACACAGCAGTTAGAAACAGACTAGTGCACCCAAAAGGCAAGATACCAGCTGGACTTAAATGTGGAGTCGTTTACGAAGTCCCATGCAAACTCTGCAATAAAACACACATAGGAGAAACCGTACGCCAACTCAACACACGAACAATAGAACACAGAAAGGAGTGTGATAAAGAGGCAAGTCGAAAACACACAAGAGCAGCAAAACAAGAAGCAGAAAGTACAATAAAGAAATCGACCATAACAGATCACTGCACAAGAGAAAACCATATAATGGACTGGGACAACACAAGGATCATAAACACCGAACAACAAAAATACAAAAGACGGATAAAATAAGCTATCGAGATAAGGAGACCATGAACAGAGACGATGGAGTTTACTCGTTGGATCGCGCATGGGACTGCATCTTTGGAGAGGGGAGAGCGGGCAGCAGAGGGCGACAACGTCCTCTGCTGCCCGCGGATAAACGGAGTAGGAAGTGGCGCCACCGTCAGCGTCAGCTCTGAAGATGTTTGCAGCAGCAAACGAAACGTCAGCAAGGTAAAGAGAAACCTTCTCTGTGTTTAAAAAAGAACCAAAAATGGAATTTATAAGCCATAGCTGTCTGTTGTTATTTAACGAGCAGAAACTACTCTGGGTACCCCTCCTCTCTACCCCTTGATGAGGCGTTAGCCTTTATTGTGAGGGAGTGTTGATTACATGCAGGAGGTTTTCAGTTTCAGGTCACACCTTCCTGCATCTAATCAACACGACTCCCTTTCCAGAAGTCCAGTTGCCTTCATTTGAACCCTTTTGGAAGAGTTATGTACTTCACCAAAAAAGGTGAAATAACTGAAAACATGTTTTATATTCTATTTTCTTCAAAATAGCCACCCTTTGCTTTGATTACTGCTTTGCACACTCTTGGTATTCTCTTGATGAGCTTCAAGAGGAAGTCGCCTGAAATGGTTTTCCAACAGTCTTGAAGGAGTTGCCAGAGGTGTTTAGCACTTGTTGGCCCTTTGTAAACGGTCATGGTCATGAAGATAAAGAAAACACATTGAATGAGAAGGTGTGTTCAAACTTTGGGCCTGTACTGCATATGCAACACATTCTCACACCCTAAGCGTCGGAAACAAACGCTTGGTCAGCCACCCTCCACGTCAGACCCCAGACGCCAAAAGTGCCCTTTTTCGTTACTTATGTGCGAAAAGGGTTTTTTCCCTTTTGTAACTGCAGATCCCAATGCAGCGTAAAACTGACGTGATTATATATCCGCTGATGCGGCACCGAACCAGCTCATTTAACCGCACCTAAACCTTAACATTTCACTATTTATAACCTTCCCTTCTCCCTCATCCTAACCTTAACCCTCTTGTTACCTAAAATGTTACTCTCATTGCGATCAAGCGTTTGTTTCCCGTGCATTCTGACTCTGACAGTCAGAGTCTGACTGTCAATTTTCGTATTTGCCGCCCAAGGGGAACGTTAAAACATACCATCTGGTGAGGGGGAGGTTACACATACCCTCTACTTTTAACCTCCACCGTGGTAGTTGAAACCTCCCCCTCGCGTTGGCTCGGTCCAAACCCGACCAATCACGAGGCGGCTCCCGCCGTTCACTTCATAGAGCCGGTTTTTAGAGCGATCGACACATCACCAACGTGTTCGCTGGCAAGATGGTTAAGGTTAGGATAGGGGTGAGGGGAAGGTTAAATAAGAGGATAAGGTTAAGGTGAGGTACAATGAGCTCGTTTGGTGCCCTGGCTGCGGACATCCCATCGCGTCAGTGTAACGCTGCATTGGGATCTGCAGTCAAATAAGGGAAAAACCCCTTTTCGCACATAAGTAACGAAAAAGGGCACTTTTGTCGTCAGGGGTCTGACGTGGAGGGTGGCTGACCAAGCGTTTGTTTTTGACGCGCTGGGAGTGAGAACGTGTTGGCATATGTATATAATGTGTCAGCTTCCAGGACTCAACAAAGCCCTAACTGTTGAAAACTTGCAACCTGGCTAAACAGACAAAGAGGTAATGAAGCATTATAATAAATTAAACATATTTAATTTTTTTCGGCTCAGATTTGAATCTAATAGCGGACTTTGTTCTATAAAACGGTTCTTTAAAAGGATTTACAGTCAGATAAACTCAGACATAAAGAGCCATGTCAGGAAATGTGTCTGATCCACTAAACCTGCAGTGCCAATGACACGATGTGGATTTACTGACACTGCAGCCACTATAATTAAACATGGTTATGTACTCAGCATGCATTCATCTTTGTCATAACACTTCGAAACTCTCTGCTTCGCATTAACAGCGACTACTCATGTTCTTTTCTTTTGTCGCCCTCCTAATTGGCCCTTACTAACTATACTCGGAAAGACAACTCAAGTGTGATTAAATTTAACACACCTGGCTAATAGGAAGGCAATTTGGTACGAGATGGGCTCTTAAATGGGTGATCATGCACAATGCAGGTTCACTGTTAACCTCCATGTGAGTGCAGCTGAGGACAGAGCCTTGTAACACTCTTGATGTGCCCTCCCTCAACGTTACATCTGCTGGAAAATGCTAAAAATAAAACGAGTTTGACTTATTCATCTGTGAGTTGATAAGTTTGGCCTAAAGGGGGAAGCAGATGAGAAGTCAAGCTGAAGAAACCATAACTGTAGGTGATCCTTTGCAGACTGAGTGGATCAGGCAGCTTTTCAAGTCATCCTGGCACTAAAACCTAAAACTTATTTTTTTATCCTGAAACGGTGCCAAAAAAAACGTGTTAAAAGGCTTTTCCGGTGTGTTCGAGTAATTTGATTTGTGATTTATTCATGCTATTACCATGAGACTCACTGAAGGAGAATGTTTGTCAGAGACTTTCTCCCACTGCCTGAATGTCAGCAAACTTTAACAGACAAACCCTGTGGTGTGAATGGTTTTCTTCAAATGCATGTTTGGCGCCCTCTGGTGACTGAAAGCGTTGAATGACATCTAAAAAGTCATGAAAGAGCATGGACTGAGGATCACGCTGGAGCGTTCCTGCTTGGGGGAACCTTATAGATCAGGATAACAGAGGACGGTTGTGAGGCTTTCTTACATAATGTTTGCAGGGAGTGCCTCAGTTCCCTGATCCGGGGGGCGCCGAGTCAGCAGTAAAACTCAAAAGCAGACAATGTGTTGAAATATGTGAGTGATTTTAGAAGACTCCCACAGGAATCTGTTGCTAGTCTTCACCTGCATCAATAACCAGTTGAGCAACGCCAGGAAAAGGAGTAGTTTCACCCCGAGCAAGACGGAGCACGAACCGTTTCATACCCCTGTTAAGGCAAACATGTCATCACACAAAAGCACAGGGTGTGTGTGTTCAAACACACACAACCAGCCAAACCCATTCACAGGAGAAGTCTGCAGCATGCATGACTTGATGAAGTTAGTGCAAAATGTTTAATCTGCTGAGTATTAACAGTATAAAGTGAAGATGAAATTAATCAGTATGAATCAGTAAATGTTGTCTAATTAATATTTGAAACATGTAAGCTGGTTAACCTGTTTAAACGTCCTTATTATAATGACTGTGCAGAATACTAGAGCTTCCTTTGGAGATGTGGTTTCCCATCGTGGATTATGTGTTCTCCGTGGACACGCCTGCGTTTGTGTCGCAACACGCACCGTGGAGGTGGAATCACACCGGAGACACTCTCCACCTCTCTGCTGGATCTGAGGAAACAAACTGCTGTCTGCCACGACACTGGTGTTAAACTCTCAAAGGTAAATATAATCACACTCAGAACAATACTGTCGCCTAATTAGGATTTTGTTTTGACAAAACATTTCCTTTTCTGTTAGGAGGTCATGTTTCATGCATGTCAGCGCCTCCTGGAGAGTCTCTGAGCTGGACTCACTTTTGACTTTAACTTCTAACGCAAAACCCTCTAAACTAAATGTTATTACTACTTTAAGTGCAAATGCATGCTGACCAACACACACTTTGACTTTGTAAAACTAATGCTGATTGGTGAGCCATTTGGGAGATTTTCCTCTAACTTTGCAGAACTACCTGCTGTTGCAGTCAAGATGCCAGAAACAGCAGAGGCGGTGTCAGCCACTCTCACCACCAACAGGAACTGCGCCGTAGAGATAACCAATGTCAGTGGCACCTACTGCCTCATCAACCCCAAGTAAGTCTGTACACATCCCAGAAAGTTTTCACCTCATACAACTGAATAAATAAGTTATTCTGGTAACACTTCCTAATGTGAAACACGAAAATGTGGCTTGATAATAATAATAAACTAATGAGCTATTTTCAGGGACTAGTTTCTGGTTAATTAACCATTCATTTATCAATAATTCATCAATAATTAGTTTATCACTACATCATCCTGAGCCAATCTTTAGAAAGATCATCCATCAGTCACTAAATAATTGTGATTTCACTATGAAGGGATGGTAAAATTATGATGATGAAGATATTTCCTTACAGAGGTCACAAACAGTCTGACTCATGAACTAATAATGAAGGCATTCAAAGGTAAATATTAAATAAGGGTTCAGAAATTCTCCTCCAACGGTCAGATGATCATGAATTAATTGTTCATGATAAACAAATGTTTGTTCATGATGAACTAATTGGTCATTAATGAAGTATTCATAGTAGGGATGTTCAATATTATCAGTCTACCATTAATATTGGCTAATATCAGCATTAAAATTTTACATCTGAACACATTGGCATCAGCTTTCAGTCTTTTAATGACCCAGTATTACAAACCATACTTCTCCCCTGCAAATATCAGTGTCAGTTTAAATCAGTATCAAATAGTCAGCAATACTGATCTATCAGATATCAGTAAATAAGCTAATATTGAGCAGCCCTGATTAAAATTAGGTATTTATGAATTAATATTTAATTAATGATTTTTGTTGAGGACTAACTTGTTTGTAGTGAATTATTGGTCTGTTATTAAGACACTATTAGTTAGTTTGTTTTGCACTGATAGTTGTGAAAATGTGTTGAACTTAGAAAACCTTTCTATGTAATCAAAACAGAGACTTGGTTGCCCAAACTCTTCAAAAGGTTAGTTTTAACTAAAGAAGTACGGAAGATAATTTTATTAAATGTGCGCTTGTGTCTTTTTTACCAGCAGTCATCATAGCAAACATTCAACACATTACCTGAAATAAAAAAAATCCTCTGATGAATAAATGTAAAATATAGCAATAATTGTATTTTTAATTCCAGTGCTCCCTTTATTTTGAATCCTGCTTGTGAATGGCAACTTTTACAACTTTTCCAAAGGTTTAGGGATCCAATAAGTCCAAAGTGAATAAATACCTGGACTTTAACAATTTGTGTCATGTTTCTCCATCTATCTACTGTTGTCAGGACAGGCCATATTTTGGTTGGCTGGTTTTAACGTGTGACATTACTTTACTGAGAACATCCACCTATCTATCATGCAGTGACACGCACTGCCTCATTGCACACTGCATCCAGGTACAGTCACTGCTGCTCACACGTCCACAGTAGTACATCCAGTCACACCTCATCCATCAGCGTCAGCTGCTTCACCACCGACAGCCAAACAAACTACATCAGGAAGCTTCTCAAAAACGTAGCAGCTTGTTAGGTACACACACACACACACACACACATATATATATATATATATATATATATATATATATATATATATGAAAATCCCATCTCACCCTCCGCAGGTGCTTATATCCTTCTGAGCTCGAGGCCTGGGAGCTTGAGGGTTCTGCAGTATCTTAGCTGTTTCTAGAACTGCACTTTTCTGGACTGAGATGTCTGATGTTTTTCCTGGGATTTGCTTTAGCCACTCCTCCAGTTTGGGGGTTACTACCCCAAGTACCCTGATGACCAAGGGCACCACCGATGTGTTCACTCTCCAGGCTCTCAGATTCTTCTTTGAGGCCCTGGTACCTCTCTAGTTTCTTGTGTTCCTTTTTCCTGATGTTACCATCACTTGGTATTTCTACATCAACCACAGTGGCTGTCCTCTGTTGTTTGTCCACCACCACAACGTCCGGTTGGTTCCCCATCACCATTTTGTTGATCTGGATCTGGAAGTCCCACTGGAGCTTGGCTCTCTCGTTCTCAACCACCTTAGGGGGTGTCACCCACTTTGACCTTCCTGTGCACCATGCCAGCCACTTGGTTGTAGTGTTCCATGTTTGCTTTTCCTGCCAGCATCTTACACCCTGCAGTTATGTGGTGGATTGTCTAATGGGCCTCTTTGCATAGCCTACACCTTGGGTCTTGTCTGGTGTGGTAGATCTTGGCCTCTGTTGCTCTGGTGTTCAGGGCCTGTTCCTGTGCAGCCATGATGAGAGCCTCTGTGCTGTCCTTCAGACCAGCTCTTTCTACCCATTGGTAGGTTTTCTTGATATCAGCCACTTCAGTAATCTGTCTGTGGTACATCCCATGGAGGAGTTTGTCCTCCCACAATGGTATTTCCAGCATCTCCTCCTCTGTTCACCATGGTCTGAAACATTCACTGAGCACGTCCTCTGTTGGGGCCTTGTCCTTGATGTATATATGGATCTTGGATGTTTCATCCTGGACAAGATGCTATGTGTATGTATATATATATATATATATATATATATATATATATATATATATATATATATATATATATATAAATGCAACATAAGTAGTAAAGCTAATGGTAAAGGCACACTTGGCAGTTTTGCTAGCTTTCAGCAACACCTAGAGTCTGTCATTAAACTTCTGTAGTAAAAGAAAAAGTGATACTTATCTCCTCACTGCGTTCATCTTTTCTCAGCTGAAATGTCTCCTTGGTCTTCATTAGTGTCTAAAGGAGTGATTCATCACTAAATTAAACAAATTTGTTTGATTTTATCTCCATTGTTGAAAAATGATCTTGTATGTCATGAAACGTGCTTTGAAATTAAATTTATTATTGTTATTGTTGTTATTATTGTTATTGTTATTATTATTATTATTATTATTATTATTATTATTATTATTATTATTATTATTGTTATTGTTATTAAATCAGCTGCGTTCATGATCTAAACCTTGCAGGAAGCAACTGCAGCTCCGCCGTGTTAGCTCCACTCCACCAGCAAGTAGGCCCGGCAACTCTGAAGTTGCAATTGCGTTATTCTGGCCACTGCATGACATTTCTGAGTGACATTTCATTAACCCTGAGGAGGGTCATTTTAGCACACACTAGGAATGTAAATTGGTGAAAATCTGGCGATACAATACACATCACGATACAGGGGAGACGATGACTCACGGTATATTGCGATACATTCAGTCAGATGCTATTAGAAACGTTTTAGACTGAATCAATTGTAGTAAAATTCAATCAACAGTCCAAACTGATACATAACATGTTTATTGTTAGGTATCTGAAGATATTAGAGGGATTTACATTTCAAAGGTGAAAACAAAACCCATTGCACACTACTGCCAACCAACAGTCGGCGTTTGAATTGCACCAAAAGAGAAGAAAATCTTAGCGTATAAATTCTTCCAAAAATTCATGCACAGCTTTTGAATATTGATATCGTAGGAAAATATTTCACGATATATTGCCATATCAATATTTTCTTACATCCCTAGCACATACTAACTCTATTAAATGATTTAAAAAAAAAGAAAAAGCTGCTTAGAACGCCTTTAAATAACCATGGGTAATTTATGCTCCATATTTCAGGGTTTACATGGCCAGTGGCTTTTCTTGCCACCCTCCCCAGCCTACCATCCGAACCCAGAAGACAGAAGTTTCCTCCTTCACCAAGGATGACAACACCGCTACAGGAGCCGTGGGCCTGCTAACCTACGACCTGTTCCACATGCGGAACCGGGTTTGCTCCGAGCGGATGGCCATCATGTTCTCTGTGCCTTTTGACCACAGCCTTTACAAGAACCGGCTGGCCGTGGGTGTGTTTGAGCTGTCCCAGGCCTGCGACAAACATCTGTATGAGCAGATGTACGATGGGAAAGATCTCAGCAACTTCACGCGGTCTGATGCAAACGGGTGTGGGCTGGAACACAAAGCTGCACATGTTGATTTAAGAGCTACAATGTCCACGACCGGCAAAGCTATGGTTAAAGTGGAGCTCTATGATAAAATGGGCCGTTAGTTGGCGTCTAAAGGGGCTCTGTTGTTGTGTTCTGTGGTGTTTTTGTAACCGCAGAGTGATTTCATTTGATGCGACCACTGTTGTCATCCTAAAATAAAAGGCTCAGCAGAGGAAGACTGATTTTGCTGTCATCCGTATTTCGCGTCTTCTGAAAGATATCAATATCTGACAGCCAGCTCATTGATTTCCCATTAGCTACTGTCTTGGGCTCATGTTCATCGTACACTCTCTCCTCATTGATTGTAGTAATAAAACATTCAGACCCAATGCTTGTGTTGCTTTGTGTGCAAAATGTTTTCACTCTGTACGCCTTGCAAATATGACTGATGAACATTAATTATTATTTAATCTCTTATTGGTATCCATCCAATTCTAATGAGCAGCAACAGATGGAATATCTGCATAGGTTATTTTTTTAATCAGTGTTGCTGTTTTTTTCTTCTGGCTGTGTGATGCAGAGCTTTGGCTGATTTTAGG